ATAAGAATATAATATTGTGCGAGTTGGATTTTATTTATTTTATAGGGCATTGTCTCTGTGAATATATGTCTGGCGTGGAGTCAAAACTCATTCGCATGGACGAAATAACGAAAATCAATGTTTACACTCTCATTTCGTGCAAAACATGACCTAGTACACCTAATTACAAGATCGTGATTTATATTTCGTTTCATCATAGTCCGGCCGTGCGCCATAACCTATTTCTTTTGTGTATACAAACTATTAAGTTCCCTACCCAAACGCGCATACACACAAACACAGTTGAATTATTAATTTGGTAGGTATGTAGTTTTATTTTTATATATTCAGTTTACAGTACAATTCTAGTGTCAATATGCTAACTTTTATTTTGGTAACTATTATTTTGGAAGTATAATTCGTAAAAACACAATTTTAGTTGTTAACGTCAAATTGTCATTTCGTACAAGTAAATAGTACGTAGTATACCAAACAACGAGCTCGAGTGTTAATCTGAGAAAACCCGTACAAAACAATTTTTCCGACGCTCCTAGAAAGTATCAAATAGAATTCTATGATGTGACATAAACCTCTGCCGACATTTCGAGACGGCTATTTACGGCCAATTTATGATAGGAATAGTATAAAAAAATAAATATTAGATACGCCAAATTTTAAGACATTTATATATAATATTATTTTATGCATTTTATCATCGGCTAACTAATACGATTTAGACCTCGAAAAATAGCTCAAACATTTCCCGACTAAAAAACAGCAGCTGCAGAATAAAATATTACTACTGGCCGCGTTTTTGATACAAATACATAATTATGCTTTTACAGTTTAAACATAAAAAATTGTTTAGATAACATTTTTGTAGCTTGTACAAAAATATATAAAAATTGTTTGACCATAAATCCAACAAGTGACCTCATTATTATACGTCTCGTCTATTAATAAATTAAATAGTAATATATCCTGTACGTATGCTTATACTACATAATATAAACTCTGATGTGTGTATCCTAACTGCAACTGTAGGTTACAAAGTAGGTAAAAAACGAGGTAATAATGTAATATTTTACTAAAATATTAGACAGGCACTTACAACACTAACTTGCGTATAAAACGTCGTAAAGAATAGATGATACTAACGCAATAATTTAGATTGTGCAGAAATACGATTCATTTTTCATAATTTGATATTTTCAGTGGTTTAATTACCCCATACTCACAAGACAATAATATAATATAAAAATAAAAAAACGCTAATTAACCTAAATCGTCTGTATAGTGAACACTTCACACGAACGAAGGCTATCGACATTATTGACATGTACTTCGTTCGGTTTACGAAAAAAAAAAATAACCATCAATTTCTTACATATTGTCATTGATTATGTGTAGCTACATTTTTAATTTTTGAACGAAGATCCATCGATTTTTTCAATGACTAACATATCTTTACCTATCCTCACATTTTATTATATATAGGTACAACTACGGTTGTTTACTTTTATCTCGACTTGACATAGGGAAAATAATTTATCGACTGTTGTGATACGCAACTTAATATTTTAATTATTAATTTATTATTAGCCTATATATTATGTAAATAATTTAAGAATATTTTTGAGTAGGTGACATCCACGTTACAGGTACATATATTTAGTTGGTTTTTAAGTATCCGCAGAGTGTATTAAGAATAATATAATATCGAGATCGATATTTTTGATGAGTATTTACAGTGGCTTAGATGGATAAAGTACGAAGATAATACAATATTTATATAGGTACACTGTAATATTGTATACATACATGAAAAGAAATCAGTTATTATGTAATATTCTTTGTTGCCACCTCTTCACACGATTTCGTTACTATTGTTTCAATTCATTTTTATTTCGGAGACCTGGATTTATTGAGTACAGAGAAAACATATTATATTCATTATTATATTATATACTATAGAAATGGATAATCGACGACTTTTAATAAATAAACGATTCGTAATTTGCACTGTCTGCGCAATTTGAAATTTGTATCCAATAATATGATATCAATAGTTTGGACTGAGGCAATTCAATAGTAATAAATAATTATAATAATAATGACAATATTCGATAATTCTAAGATTTGCTATAAGTGACACATTTATATTTTCAGGAGAGCCAAAAAAAAGTTTCTATATATTCTTAGTCTTTAAGAAGTCTTTAAATTATCGTAACTAACTTAGTCATAAGGATGGAATTTACAATTATTTGTTCTAGGATCAATTACTTTTTAGGAACTTTAATGCTTTTAACAAAACTTTATGGTTTAAATAATCTTTATTAAATTGTCGTCAAACTGAGTTGGTGATTACTATATTTAGAGTTTTATTGTACATCATAGAATTTAAACTGTTGTAATTTTTCACAAAAATGTTCTAAGCATTCCTGAAATAAGTATTGAAATACACACTTAAGCGCATACTCCAAACAAACTAGTTCATCATGTACCGCACATAATATTATAATATAATTGGATGACGATAACAGCTTAATTTGTCGTTTATAAAACAATGCCAATTTAATACTTTAGTTGCTTATTAATTGATCTTAATGGATACAATTTGGATAATATATCCATTTATAATATAATACACAATAAATTATGTAATTCACTTCAAATATTTGACAAAGTTGATGTTATCTACAATATTTTTACTGAAACATTTTCGAGGTCATAACTTCCTTTATGTTACCAAAACTGTTAACGACCGTTTATTAATGTTAGCATTAAAATGTTGTTTAACTATTATAACTAATATTGTTTTAAAATTAAAGTGATAGGTAAGTACATGATGAATTTATTTTACTAACATTTTAAATTCGAATATTATAAGCTAGTTCACCAATTTGAAACAAATTTTACAAAAATAATTTTAGGAGATTTAGTTTGATGAACCTAAAAATAGATTTTGGTTACTCCAAGGTAGATAAATACAATATTTGCCCTATGAAACGCCGTATGGCTTGTGTTACAGTTAATATCTTATAACCACCAAATAATTTTACCTTCTAAATGTATTCTATTTATCTTTAATAATTTCATTATAATATTATCTCACTCTAGTACCTAATTTTAATGTACTATTTTTATTTGAATTTTATCAATAATAATTAGTATTCCTTTGCAACCAAACTTGGAATATGCGATAGTGGATTAGGCGTCTTGCAATTCTAAACGTTGTAAAAGACCCAATGTTGTATGTATGTACGGAATAAGTTATGTGCTAGAATAAGCATAACATTACGTATATTATGATAATATGTTTATAGAGATAAATATTTTCTTTTAAATCATAAATACAAATTAGACTCCAGGCAACGATGATGAAAATATTTTATTCCACTCGCGTTTTTTCATTGGTTGTTTCAGATATGGGATTTCTAATTGATGTAAAAAATAATTATTTTAAATCACGATTATGTCAATGGATGACCTATCCTGTCTTGTATAGTCTGTACTAGTTTCTAACTGACGTGACTTTACCTGATGTGTCAATCAATTCACTAGTAATAATGATTATGTAGTAATCACTCATTCTTAGAAATTGTAAAACCTCTTTCCTTAAATTCTTTGTTTTTCAGTTTTTAAGATCTGATAATATTAATGAATAATATTGAGAACCATGATTATAAAACGTTTAACTTCATTAGGTACCTACCTACTCATTAATTGTATTTTCAAATAGTTAATGTTTAAAGAAGTTAATGTGATTTGAATTGAAATTCAAAATATTTCACTGACAAGTGTTATGACAACATTATGTGGATTACAATTATTTTGTTAAACTTTTTCACCTCAATAATAGTACAACCATACAGCTTATGTAGAACCCACAACAATTACATCCCTGTCAGCTGATATTATGTGTGGGTTCTACAGGGATGAAAATTATTATTTATCTGCTTGTAAATTGGGGAAATATACGGTTATCGATTTATGAAATTTAATTAGAAACAAAAAGCATGTTTAAATGAAATAGTTGAATTGTGTAACTTGAGCGATACGAATTTTAAGTTAGATTGCGAAAAGTAGAAAGTCCACGGCATACGACATATTTTGACAATGACAAAAACGATAAACACATTTATTTCGATATCTATATAACGTGGGCTTTGGGATGATACACGCCCGTCAGCCTAGTATGTGGCTGTGTGATAAATAGTTATTTATCGACGTCGGCGCGAAAATTGGCGGTCAGGCACAACGCGCGTATCGGCCTCGAAAATTAGATCACAGGTACATTATTGCTGCCGATCGTTACCTATAATAATATACTAATGTCGAAAGGCTGCAGGTGCTTCACCCACCCACCCACAAACACACACACACACAAACAAATGACAACAGTATAATAATTATAATAACAATAATAATAATAAGAATAACAATGATAACATAATATTATTATTATGCACGCTTAGCTGATGCTGCATATATTACAACAATAATACATAAGGTTACGAAAATCGATACTGCCCCCCCAGTATATTATTGTTTATCGTTGTTGTTGTTGTTGTTTGTTTGTTTGTTTGTTTGTTTGTTCAACGTTGCGTAATTTGTGAGGGGTACATGCAAAATCGATACAATAATAATAATATTATTATTGTGTTATTGTGTACGACCGCTGCGAATGTATATGCCTACTCTCTTCATACATGACAATATATACTCGTATTATGACGTGAAAATATAAAACACGACATAACGATAAGATTATACGATGATTGACCGTAGTTTCCACCATTAACTCGATCGTAAGTCGGCCTACGCGTGCGTATGTGCGTTTCCTGTGCCCGAATTGACAAATTCGGTTTTAGCGCGGCGCCGCGATTCCCGGCGCCGTATCGATCGTTAAACTCGGTCTCATGCCGTGTATATATTACATATGACGTGTGTATACAATAGATACATATTATATTATGTGTATTAGGTGAATTGTATTATACGTATTCGTGTGTACTTACAATAAAACCGTTGTATGTATATAAATACACCGACGCAAGTCAGACTTTCGACGGGAGCATGGTCGGCGATGTGGTAGGTAGTAATGCAGCACGATAACTCGGAGATGCACGCGGACCGCGTTCACTGATGATCGAATTTTATAACGAGAACAACAAAACCAAACTAAGAAAAAAAAATAAAACGATTGTGAGCCTATTCTAATAACATTATATTGTATGATATCGATGACTACAACAACAACAGCGTTAACAGTGCTTTTACATCTGATCTACATCGTCTACTAACGGGTTACCACGGGTACGCGCGCACAAGCACACCGTCACTTGTAAACGCGAACGTTCAGTCGTCGGTCTACGGTTGCGGTGGGAGTGGAAAACCAGCCCGACCACGAACGCGGTTACGGTCGCCGTCACGCGGTGTTGTATCGTCTAGCGCCATCTGCGAGGCGCGTTCGCCGAGCGCGCGTGTCCGGTTTCCCGGTGGCCCGCGACAGTCGAGTGAAGATGGCTACACCGGAAACGACGGTGGCGGCGGACACGGAACGTCCGACATCCGCTTCCGGCGCCCGTGAGTAGGGTGGACGAGAGAGCGTTGCGAGTTCACAACCCTTATGCGTTTTTGCGAAGGCTGTGATCACAATATGGCTAAAACGATTGTTATCATTTCGGTTGTTACTCGAGCGTTACTTTGGGACAGTCGAATCAGACTTTAGCCACTTCCCAAGTATATGAATTACCTCTAACAATCAGATTTTCGTTAAATCGTTTTATTTTTCTTTAACATTTAGTGAACCGATTTTTGGCAGATTTTAAAAACATATTTAAAGTGGCTCTAATATTTTCATCATTTGTCCTAAAATATAATTTTATGTTGATAATTTGAATAGTACCTAGATAACCACGTGGGTAGATATAACGGAACAAAAGCTTCGTCGTATACAGCATTGGAATTAGAAAATGTGTCAACTCATTTTTTAACGTTAAAAGAAGATTCATTTTGAATGTATAAAATTATCAAACGAGTAAACCTTTTTCCTCGGTATTCCTTCCGTCTTTATTCGTATTATAATGTATGTTTAATATTTATGAACTTTTTAATAAACATTTTATAGTCGTAACGTAGATCCTTTGTTAGGAGAATAATATTTTATAGGGAAAAGGAAACAAGAAATATTGAAAAAAAAAATTATACTCCATTGAAACGCGTTTTTTTCTCAGTAATGTTTTTAATAGTTTTCGTTCACAAGCATCGCCATAATAATATTATAATATGTTAGCCAATAATAAGTCAGTAAACAAAATTGCTCGATTATCGGTCCGCTATTTTGTGAAAATTAAGGAAAGCATTACCACCAAGACGATGAGTGATTACTGTTGAAGTGCAATACGTATATTAAGATGATAGGTCTTGCCTGACCAGGCAAAACGTACCATGCAGAGGAATTTGTTAGTCGTAAATATTTGAAAACGTCAACCAAACACAATACTACCTTAGTCTGTCGATCTATCTACGATACAATCGTGACGCGTAAACAATTTATGCGTTTTTATCGCGTAACAATTTGCGTGCGCCCTTGTCCTTGAAGTGCCAAGCACTATTATAATAAACTTGGAGCACAATAATATAATATATAAATATATATTATGCTCGTAAAAATAAACCATAGAAAACTTACAGGCAAAGGTGTATTACAAGAAATTCGTTCGGTATAGATTGTTTACGGTCGTTTGTCGTTTAAACTGTACACGTTCAGCCATCGATCATCGTTATCATTATACGACGAGCCAATAAGTTTGTCACTTTTTGTCTCTTATAATGCTCGGCTGTTAAAATCTAATTAAGGTCTCGTTTTTTCACACAAGACAGAATATGCACTCTAATGCGAATGTGGGGGTTTAGATGTGTAGACGAGAGGTACGAAGTACCCAATTTGCATACATTTTTTTCGACATAACTATCTTTTGAATGGCTTTAAGGTATACGTCTTATTTGCGAATTTGTCGTTTTCAGGACAACGGGGTAAACAGTAAATTGAATTGATCACTTCGATTATTCACGTGTGTTTCTTTTAATTTTAAACTAATTCGTTGTTACATCTAGCCATGCATAATAATTATATGTTTCCGTTCACAACAATAATATCTTTTGTTTGTCTTTTACCTACATTTTACTTGCAACAATAATTATTACAATATAAGAAACCTCAACTTGAGTACAAATATGTCAGATTTCGTGTAGTGTATAATATTATTTGCTATTCGTCTATTTCAGTATGTGTCTCTGGGTATCTATTATGATTTCAGATAAAATACACAGTATAGTTTAAAAACACGTTCACCTATTTAATAATCTTTATTTAATAATCTCGTACATGCCTACAGTTCGTCTTTATTCTGTCATTTGATGAGTACATTGTTATCGGAGATATTACATTGTCTGCTCTATTCTTGTACTCTCTTTGTGTCCATCCACATATTCCAACAATATAACACCCCAGAAATATTGTACTTGAATCTCAATATTATGTAAGTTGTACCGTTGAATCAACTTATCAAGGGTAAACTATTCCGTATTTCAAGTGGAACCTAATAACAAAAAAAAAATAAGAAAATCCTACGACAGCATAATGAAATGAACGATTTTGTCTGGATCGATATTTTATTAAATTTCTGAACAAAATGCAGTAATCCATTTTAAATTGTAACCATACGCTCTAAATACACGGTTTTATAAATATTTTTTGCTGAGTATAAAAGTATTATATTTGGCGTGTAACGGAAGGAAAGAGCAGCTTTAGTGATTTTAGAGGGAACCTCACCAAGCTTCTCCCTTTGTGTCATTATGACCTTATCTTTAACGTATTACTTATAGTAATCCCTCACCGCAATAGTTTATTTACAATTTTTGAATAATCGGAAAACAATTTATTACATAACCAGTGATGAGCGATGACAGTAAATATTCCACAATTATTTTTGAAATATTTTTTTATTTCACCAAACTATTTGAAATACGTCAAGCACGCCAGACGGGTATAAAACGTTATTGAAATTTAATCCAACACAAAACAATTAATACAAAATATATTTTACGAGATGAATGTTTAACCTTAGGTATAGTAGGTGTTATTATTGTATTACTATAGTACATTTTTCAAAAAAATATAATATTAATAATACAATTTATTGTGATCACCACTCATCGTTTAGTATTATATACCGTTTATTTATTTTGTATATAATACATTTGATACTAGTAGTAAACTGTTGTAGCATTATGTTGGGCTATGTCCCAATTAGGTACTAAACGATAGATGTAATAGAGGTAAGTAAATATCTGGATGTTTCAAATTTAAATTTCTCACATAAACTATAATACTACTCATGGATTTGGTCATTTGACATTAACAAATTGTTAAATATGACCCTTTATGTTATATACGTTACCATACGTATAACACATAATGTTGGTTAAATATTCTGTTATTTTTCTGATTTATGTTCTTTCGTTTAAATTTATGTTAACACAACTTAAATAAAACACAGAATTATGAGTGCTGACGTATAGCTAAAATCACCGTAGGTAAATATTTTAGTTTTCTTTTGATCAGAAAACTAATACATTTGATTAATTTTAAAGTTTAAACATAACTCATCAATGTTTTATCTGTGCAAATGTAATTTTGAAAACATTTTACAACAAAATAAATGACGAGTGAAGGTATAACATTTGAATCAATTAGGGAAAATAATTTCCTTATTAGTTTAGTTGAAACAATTATGTTGTTTATAGAAATTAAGAATGCACGATTGACAATTATTATATGATGTAGAATTATAATTGTATTTTGCGTAAGAGATGAATTTCTGAATATTCAATTATGGCAATTCAAACTATATTTATAAATATTAAATATCTACCGAGAACATTTTAAATTTAACCTTATCTTATGATACATAATAAAAATACTAAAATACTTAATACGTATACATTTTTATGGAGGTAAAAGATTGAATAAATGCAAGCAATTAATGTTCAAATTAGACAACGATAGAATATAAGTAAAATATAACTTAATATCTTATGTTAATAGTTAACAATTACTTAAATACTATTCTTGTACTGTGGTAAATTATATAATAATTATTTTTGACAACTTATAATAAATAATATTATATTATTATGTAAAAAAATATGCATGAGCATTGTAGGTTTACATTTTGAATATGCATGTTGTATTTTAGAGTTTCAATAAGATACTAAAGAAAAAAAGTAAGATTTTTTTACCTATAATAAATAATTTTGATTTGACATTTATGAACAGAATCATTTCTTAAATTTTGATCATAAAAAAACATTATCATATCTTTCTATGGTATTCATTTGTCATCATTATGTTTGTTGAAATATATTACCTATTATAACTACTCATAAGTTTACTACGAACAATAATAAAATACTACAGTTGGAGCAATATTTCATCTGATTTTCTACTGACGTATTTTTGTATGTAATTATTAATTATTACAGCTGATACGTAGTAAAGTGTTTGTAATTAATGCAGTTTTCAGAATATTTCAATTGAGTAAAACGGACAAATATAATTTTATAACACAATATATCTGGAAATAACTTGCGTTATACAAATAACAATTAATAGTAATTTAGCAGGTAGTTAGGTTCCTAGCACAAGAAACTATGTATTGCTGATATTAAATCATTTGTTTAAACTCATATATATATATTTATTTATTTCATATAAACTTTTTTTAACTGTGAGTTAAGTTTATAAGGTTATGATTATAATTATAACAATTTTTTTTTTTTGATATTAACTTTATATTTTAGATGTGATAGAGTAAAAATATTACTTGATATCTACTAACTTAAATTTAACTTCTTAATGTTGACTTCACTAAACTAACGCAATTCAATTGTTTCCCTTTATTAAACTTCGTCAGAAAACAATACATTAAAACAATTATTATCGCACATCATAATTTATGTTTTATTTTTTACTTTTTAGAACGACAAAATACTTTTTTAATTTTTTACTAAAATATTTGCTTTTAAATGTCGATGTAGTAAAATGTATTTTAAACGAGTAGTTAATTAGTTATATAATATTAATATTTTGATGAGTTGGGTATGAAGTGATATTCCTCAAAATATTTGGCTACCACACTGATACAGTTATAATATATTTTATCATTTAAAGCCAATATTATAGTTAAATAAAATGCAACTGATATTTAAAAGAATAAACAAATACACAGTAATAGTTAAATTAAGTAATAATACATTACAGAAATAAGATTAACTAGGTAAGTGGTTGGTACTATAAGAA